TTTCTGCTGAGAAATCAGAGCTTAGTCTTATTGGTTCTCCTTTGTAGGTACCTTTTGTTTTTCCCAAGCTGCTCTCAGGATTCTTTCCTTGTCTTTGACTTTGGATAGCTTGGTTATGATATGGTTTCATAATTTTCTTTTGGGATCTATCCTGTGTGGGGGTTCATTCAGCTTCTTGTAAACTTACCTTTGCATCTTTCATAATGTTAAGGAAGTTTTCCAACAACACTTTGGCAATTTTCTCTGTGCTTTTTATGGTCTCTTCCTGTTCTGGAATTCTGATCACTTGTAAGTTGTTCCTCTTCATGATGTTCCATATAACTATTAGACTTTCTTTAGATTTTTCGTTCTTTATTCTGATTGTTCTTCTAGCATGCTAGTATTGATTTATATTCAAGCTCACTAATTCAGGCTTCCATTGCTTCAAATCAACTCCTCTGTCCTTTCAATATATTGTCCTTTCTGATACCTTATTATTAATTTTCTGGATATCTAATAGCAGATTTTGTATTGGTTCAAAAATTTCATTTATTTTGTCTGCTTGTTCTTATAGTGTTTTTCTGAATTCTTCTAAAGTTTTTCTGTGTTCATCTTGCTTTCCTTGATTTTTCTGTCAATCCTTTGAAGATACCTAAATATCATTCTTTTGAATTCTCTTTCATTTAGTTCGAATTACGTTTTCTTCTTCAGAAATGTTTTCTGACTCTGCAACTTGGTACCATTTGTTTGAGCCATTATGTGATGTGAGCTAGAATTTTTTGTTGTCTTTAGGGCATTGTGGGGTTGTAGTATTTGTATTAAATTGATGATTTTATGTTGCTGTTTTCTAACATGTTCACCAACTGTCTCCTGTGGGTATAGTTAGAATGGAAGTGTGTACACCCTTCTCATTTGTCATTCAGTTTATGGTGGACTTGTCTGGTGCTGGCCACTGTCTCTCACTGATCAGGTGATATAGGAGCTGGTATTGGCTTTTGCCCAGTGGGTGGAACTGCAGGGGTTTTAGTTGTAACTGAGCTACATGGGCAAGGATGCTGTCTCCAGTTGGATGGGAAAGAAAGAACCCCTCTCACACACATACACACAAGAAAAAAAAACAGAATAAACAGACAAGGAAGTAATAATGAAAAGAAAGTAATAAAGAGCAAAAACAGGCATCAACCAGAAAAAAAGAATATAATAACTACTCCGGTAGCATAGTGGTTACAAATCGGGCTGCGAACCTTAAGGTCAGCAATTCAAAACTACCAGCTGTTCCGCGTGAGAAAGATGAGGCTTTCTGCTCTTGCAAAGATTTACAGCCTCGGAAACCCTGCACAGGGTCGCTTTGAGTTGAAACCGATTCCACGGCATATAACCACCACCACCATAAAGACAAAAGAGGGACAGAGAAATGGAGCTATAGAAGAGAAAAATAAAAGGTAAAATAGAAGGAAAAATTTTAAAAGAAATAAAAAACACCTAGAATAAAACAGGGAGAGGGAAGATGGAAAAAGAAAGAAGAGTAGAATGTAGTAAAGAAAAATCAAAAGGGGAAAAAAGATAAGAAGTGAAATGAGAAACAGAAGAAAAGCAGGAAAAACAAAAGTGAAGATAAAATTCAAGGGAATGGAAAGAGAAGAAGGAGGAGAAAGAACAAAAACAATGAAACAACAAATGGAAAAAACAAAACAATGCACTTATTGTATCCAGAGAGATAAAAAACTCTGGGGGACTCCTGCAAGCCACAGAACTCATTAGGTGGGCTGGTAGGGCTGTTACAGCAGAGTTTCTGGCCATAAATGGAATTCCTATTGGCACTGGTATTATTTATGTTTGTTGTACTTAATCCATTCAGGCCTTACATGGAACTGGTCTGTGTCTGTTAGAACCACACAGCAGCTGGGGTCAGGGTGACTGGTTAAATACTAGTCTGGTGGCTCTGTGGATTCTGTGCATCTGGAGCCAATCATACCTGAATCTAGACATCAAGTGGTGTAACCCACTTCATACTGGAGAGAATTCCAACCACATGATTTCAAACACCTGGAGAACACAGTCTGCTTTGAGGATGGATAAGGGTGGGAGCTAGCCATATCTCTGGCACCAGGGGAGCATGGTGAAAAAGAAGGAACCACACTTTTCCCCTTGATGATGTGAATCTGCTCAGCTATCCTCCTTCTGTTGACAAAACTGCTAACAAGTTTGTCGTATTGTATTTGCTTGGCCATTCACCAGTCATTTCCCCTCTCTTGCTGTCCCTGCTCAGCTCTCCTCCAACTTCGCTAACATTTCCTCTGAAATTCAACACCCCAGGATTTTCATCTGTGTCTGTTTCTCTTGGTCTCTCGTATCTTTGTTGTAGAGGGTCTGGTCTGTGTAGGTCATCTGCCTAAAATGCCATCTCACCAGAAATCTCTCACTGTGCTATTCTTTTTTTTGTGTGTGTTTTATTGTGAATTGTGTGATAGTCTACATGGAAGACCATTAGCTTTACATTCATTCCATCATCTATCATTTCATTGACATTTCATAGTTACCATCCCGTCCATGCATCCTCACCCAAACAAAGGGTACCCTGTAATCACTGGGCTTTTTGCTGCCCCATTCCTCCTTGAAGTTTTAGGTCAGACAATTCTTTAGCTCCTCATAGTGGTATAGATTTCCCTTTTTATATTGATTGTGTTGTGAGGTATTGGTAAAGGAAGAATTTTTGACATGTGAGCTTAGGTTGCCTTTTTGATTTCAGAATTGCTACATCTTAAATTTAATAGGAAACATTCAGTTCTGTAACTGAAAACAACCTAGGGAAATGTAAACCTATTTTTATAAATATTTTAACTACATTAATTTACAAAATTGTCACTAACTTGTGTTCTTTGCTATAGAGATATTTATGTCAGTTTTATAGAACTCAGAATTCATATTACTTTAACTTTAACATTGAAATAGTTATAAGCCCATAAAATTCTTCTTTAAGCCCACAATAGAACAGGAGTAGTAACACTAATATTAACCTGAGTTAGGAACAAAGACTATGTGCTAGAAAAGAGAAAAATAAGAGAATTTCTTTCCCCATTCTTGAATGATGAGACATTCAAGACTAAATTTCAAAATAGACTATTTACTCATTCATTGGTTTAGTCATTCATTCATTCAATCCTTCATTCATTCATACAAACATTATTGAAAAACCCACATTTGCCAGCCATTACTTTACCAGAGAGTCTTGGTGAGGCACTGTAGAATAAACATTAGACCACAAGGTCGGTTTGAAACATGATGTTAGCAGTTCAAACCCACTAGTTGCTCCTTAGAAACCCTATACAGGTTTGCCGACTTGATGGCAACAGCAACTCTTCTGTGAGAGAAAGATGAGACTTTCTGCTCCCATAAAGATATAAAGCCCCAGGAACCCTACCTATACAGGGTTGCTATGGGTCACTTAGCAACAACATTTCTAGCAAATAGGAATACAAATATGATTCAAAACATGACAACTCCAAACCATTCCTCCTATAGCACTTGACTTTGTTGTTGTGTGCCGTCTAGTTGGTTCCAACCCACATAGGTACGCTGTATAGAGTTTCCGAGGAGCGGCTCATGAACTTGAACCACCAATCTTGTGGTTCAAACTGATTTTGCTGTCCCGTGCATTAACACACAATGCCATAGCAGGACTCCAGCACTCTACTTAGCTGGGCTCAATAATTCATTGCATTGGCTACCCAAAACTTGACCACCATACTCACAATTATGGGGTTTAATAGGGAAGTTAATCAGAAAATGCTCAGGGCATGGTTGTTCTAGTCAGCTGCTGATAAATGCCCATAGACCATACCACACTGCTATAAGCATCAGCCGGAAGGCACTGGGCCCTAGCTGTGTAAGTCAGCAAATCTAGCTCCCGCTTAAGTGCCTGAAGTGCCCCCACCTACAAGCAAGCTTCCTGCCTGAGGTCACTGAGCTTGACTTGCTCCATAAGCTGGGAAGCCCAGTGCTTGGTCTCATGCGCTGGTTCCTTTTCTGCTGCTTCTCTGCCACTCCTCCAGTATCACAGCTTTCTGTCCATGGGTCAAGGAGGTTTAATGTACAGGGATCCCAGGGTCCAAAGGACACTTTCCCTTCCTGACTCTCCTGCTTCTGAGATGACTCATTTTATACTCAGGCTAGAGTTTCGAATGTTTCCAATTACAATGATGTCCGCTCACATCCACAGCTGAACCATGTCATCCTATCAGTATCTTCTCCCACCTTCTCTTACCCAGACCCAGCAGGGCAGAAACGTTTGGTGGGAGTTACAGACTATGGCTAGAAGAGATATTATATAACTCATTACACCACAATGATGCTGTCTTTTATCCTTAAGAACTTCACCATAGGGGGCTGGAGGTACATAAATATAACAAATAATTAGAATTTATGATAATTTCAGCAAACATATGTACAGGGTATTTGGAAGCACATAGAATGTACATCTGAATGAATGACCTAGTCTGAGGTAATTTAAAGGCTTTTCAGAAAAGATTGACTCCTGCACTTAATTCTGTAGAAGGAGTAGATGCAAACCATACAAAGATGGGCTAGAGAGTTATATAGGCAGAGGACACATCATGGGTAAAGACCTAGAGGTGAGCTCAAGCATGGTGGATTTGGGGAAATTACCAGTAGTCAAGGTGCCTATAGGCTAGAGTATTAAGTGGCAGTGTCAAAGATGAAGTTGGAGGGATAGGGAAAGGCCAGATCATGATGCTTTTTGTAGGTCTTAGGTTCTCAATGACCATTCTTTAATTCTTCAGTCAAAAAAAAAAAGGAAATTACAGGATACCAACAGGCAAGACTCTCTCTTTATATTATATTATCAAGTGCTACCCAGATATCCCCTTATGATGGCTTACAGTATGTCCACACATTCTCTGATGCTCTTCCCTGCCGAGGTAGAGCCTAATGCCTAATATATATTTCAAAATATATATTATTTTTATGCTTTGCTAAATAATAATTATGTCTTTTTGCTTTAGAATAAAGGAACATGAAGAAGAAACAGAAAGAAAAAAGAAAGAGAGAGAAATGGATGCTGAGGAAATTAAGCGGCAGAATTCATTATATGAACTAGAAATGAGAAAAAAACTAGAAAAGAAAAAAGAAGAGATCCATGAAAGCAGGAGACTGTTTTTTGTAAGTTGAATATAGAGCAGATCTTCAGATGATGTGCAAAGTGAAATGCCCAACTTTTATCTATTTATTTTTACAACAAAACATTTGCTATTTCAACCATTTTTACATGAACAGTCCAGTCACACCAAGCACATTCCCTGTGTTACAGAACCATCACCACTACCCATTTCCAAATCTTTTTTCTCTTTTCTTTTTCCCTCCTTTTTTACTGCCCCCCCCCTTTTTTTTTTGCAGGAACGTTCCCAATGGTTTGTCCTCATGAGAAAATAAGTATATGTTGTTTCCTTTCAAAAAACACATTGAAAAAAAAAGAGAGAAGAAAGCAACTTCCTTTTTAAGACAATTTTTTCCATTCCTTCTTTTATCCTTCCTTTTCTTTTTAATTGCCTTCTCCATCACCCAAGTTAGCATGTGTCTATGCTGCACCCAGTGAATAATTCATCTTTCTTCCTAACTCTGGTTACCATCATACAATGTTTATTATAGAAGGAAAACGTTTTCTTGACTTTTTATAGTACTGGTCTCTTATAATATCTGTACAACTAATTTCACTCTGCATAATGTCCTCCAGGTTCATCCATATTATGCAATGTTTTGTAAATTTGTTATTCTTCAATGCTAGTAATATCCCACTGTGTGTCTGTAGCAAACTTTGTTCAGCCCTTCCTCTGCTGTTGGGCATCTAGGCTGTCTCCATCTTTTTGCTACTGTGCATAATGCTACGATGAACATGGGTATGCACATATCTATTCATGTCCTGGCTCTTCTTTCTTGAGGATGTATACCAATTAGACTGCTTTCTGGATCATACAGTATTTCTGTTTCTAACCTTCTAAGAAAGTAGATACTTTTTTCCACATCAGCTTCACCATTTTACAAATCCCACCAGCTGTATAGGGTGGTCTCATCCTCTCTACATCCTTTCCAGCATTTGTTGTTTTCTGTTGTTTTAAAACTTTGCTATTAATGCTTGGGTAAGATGGTATCTCATTCTTGTTTTGATTTGTGTCTCTTTAATAGCTAGTGATTGTGAGCATTTCTTTGTTGGCTGCCTGAATGTCTTCTTTGGTGAGGTGTCTGTTCATGTCCTCTGCCCATTTTTAAATTAGATTGTCTTCTTACTGAGATATTGAAGTGTTCTATGAATTTTAGATAGTAGTCCCTCATTTGATATGTCATTGCCAAATTTCCCCCCCTATTTTGTGGACTCTCTTTTTACCCTTTTGGTGAAATGTTTTGATGCACATATATGTTTAATTAAAATATCTAACTTTAATTTTTAAAATGTAGAAGCTAAGTAGAGTAAAAAACAAGTTGGTATTAAGTTGAGTTTCTATAGTAATACATCCTTTTTTGGGTATTGAATTATTTGAAGATCGGGTTGCTATGAGTCAGAACCAACTCAATGACACACAACACCAACAACATTTGCTATAAAGGATCCCTGGTAGTATACTGAGCTATGCAATGTGCTGCTATCCATTAGGTCAGTAGTTTGAATCCACAAGCCACTCCAATGGAGAATGAGGAGGCTTTTTACTCCCGTCAAGATGTACAGCCTCAGAAACCCTATACTGGGTTGCTGTGAGTTGGAATCAACTTGACAGCACACAGCAGCAGTCTATTTGCTATAAGCAGTCCTGGTGGTGCAACAATTAAGTGCTTGACTGGTAATCCAAAGGTTGATGGTTCAAATCCACTCAGAGCTCCATACTCAGAATGGAGAAAATGTTCAGTGATCTGTTCTCATAGAGATTACAGCCTGTAGTGTAGTGAATTATTTAGTATGTCTCTTCTAGCCGTAGTCTTTGTAACTCCCACTGAATGATTTTTCTTGATGAGTCTGTGTAAGAGAAGGTGGAGGAAGAGGCTGATAGGATTATATGATTCATTTATGAATGATTGTAAACAGGGCTATTTGTGGTTGTAAAAACTTGGAACTCTAATGTGGGGATTGGTCAGTTTTACAATCCTGCTCAGTTTAAAATGAGCCATCTCAGAAACAGAAATGAGGAATCACACTGCCATCAAGAGAGAAGAGCCAAGAGTGGAGTACATCCTTTGGGCCCTGAAATCTGTGCACATTGAACCTTTTGGATCCAGGGACAGAGAGCTGTGATACAGGAGGGAGAGCAGCAGAAGAATCATGAGCCAGAGTGTGAGAAAGAGCACTAAAGCTGGGTGTCTCCGGGCAGGAGGCTTACTGAAAGAGTGAGGTGCCTGCAGGCATTTAACTGGGGAGTTAGGTTTGCTGTCTTAAGGAGTTAGAGTTGAATGCCTTCAATGTGGGCTTTTCATAGAGTGGAGTGCCTTTGAGTGCTTATTAGTAATTCTAAAAGAACTTTGTAACTTTGCCTGAGAAGGGTGTAGGCCAGGTCATGGGCATAGCAGAGCAGAGGTTGTCCTGACCAAAGGAACACTTCTAATTCTAATGGAGTCCTGGTGTGGTGTTGTGGGACACAGTGCTAGACTGCAAGGTTGGTTTGAACCACAAAGTCGGTGGTTCAAACTCACAAGCCACTCCTGGGAAACTCTACACAGGATCCTTATGAATTAGAACCCACTTGACAGCACTGAACAACAACAACTTCTCTAATGGGGTACTAGTGTGGTGCTGTAGGATAAGGACTGGACTGTTAACTGCAAGGTCAGCGATTCAAACCCACCAGCCACTTCTTTGGAACTCCATACACACTTGCTGTAAGTCAGAACTGACGCAACGGCATTCAACAACAATGGCAACAACTTCCCTAATAAATCCCATAATTGTGAGTATTGTCTGTGAGTTGTGTGTGATCATTGCAATGAATTATCAAACTCAGCTGAGAAGTAGAGCGTCAGTTCCGACTCACAGGATAGATGAAATGCATCTTTCAAAGACTTCCTGGGAGGTGTGTGAGACAGAATGATTTTGAGTTCTTATCTGAAAAGGTTAACTTCTAGAGTCCTACTTGATTTACAGTTTGACGAGGAATAGAATTCTAGTTTCAGAAATCAGCATTTGGTATTTGTGATTTTATGTTCCTCTTGTTTCCAGTATTACTATTGAGAAGCATGATGTCATCCACAGTCTTCATTCTTTGAATGTGATCTTCCCCTCCCCCTCAGGAAAGTTTTAGAATCTTCTCTTTAGACCCTAGTGCTTTCAAATTTCACAGTGATGTGTCTTAGAGTTGGTTTTCACCCCCCTTAATTTTTAGTAAAAGGACTTTTTATTTTAGAGCAGTTAGGTTTACAGAAAAATTATGCAGAAAATACAAAAGTTACCATCTGTCCCTCCTACACGTTGGTTTTCTTTTAACATCTTGCATCCCTGTGGCATATTTGTTACAATTAAAATTTATTTTTGGTGTTATTTGACAGGGCTTCAAAATGTTCATGGAAAAGTTTTATTATCTTTTCATTTGACTTTTCCATGAACTTTTTGAAGCCCTCTTGATAGTCCTATGGTGGTGGTGGTGGTTATGTGCAGTGGAGTTGGTTCTGACTCCTAGTGACCATGTACAGGGTTTCTGAAGCTGTAAATCTTTATGGGAGCAAAAAGATTCATCTTTCTCCTGTGGAATGGCTGGTAGTTTTGAACTGTTGACCTTGAGGTTAGTAGTCCGACCCATAACCACTGTGCTACCAGAGCTCCTATGGGTTTTGACAAAAATGCTTAGTGTCTTGTGTGCATCATTGCAGAATAGTTTCACTGCCTTTAAAATACCCTGCGCTTCACTTATGCGTCCCTCCCCCCTTCCCTGACCTCCTGGAACTCACTGCAGAATGTCATAGAGTTGGAATCATACAGTGTGTCACATCTTTCCACTGACAATTAATCATAAAAAAAATGCTCAGCATCATATGCCACTAGGGAATTGCAAGCCAAAACAGCGAGATACCATTATGAACCAATTAGAATGTCTGATTACACAGTTATTTTTATTGCACATTTTTAAAGAAAGTAGATATTTGAAAAGAAATAGTATTGTTAATATTTTGATGTTTTTAACATATTTCTTTCAGTAAAATTTACATCCTGTTATTGTTGTTATTAAGTGCCATCGAGTTGATGATGCCGACTCATAGGGACCTTGTATAGGGTTTCTGAGAAGCAGCTGGTGGGTTTGAACCTTGTGGTTTGCAGTCCAGTGCTTAACCTACAGCACCATACCAGAAGTCCTTTATCTGTATTTTCAAAATTGGGATAGACTATGTAATGTTTTGGAGTCTTGCTGGAGCGCTGTGGGTAATGCATGGGATTGCAAAGTTGGTTTGAACTGCAAAGTTGGCATTTCAAGTTTACCAGCTGCTCCTCGGAAATCCTATAGGGTTGCTATGGGTCGGAACTGACTCAACAGCACTTAACAACATTTAATGTTTTATCTATTCTGCTCTTTCTTCCCATTTATGAATTATATTATTTGTATCACCCCATATTGCTGATAATTGGTTTAACTATCTCTCTTTTGGTGGTGCTGTGGGATACACCAGTAGACCACAAGGTCGGTTTGAACCATAAAGTTAGTTGAAGCTCACCAGCTGCTCCTTTGAAACCCTATACAGAGTTTCTATGAGTTGAAACTGACTCAAGAGTACTTAGCAACAACAAAGACATCTCTCTAGTACTGAATATTTAGTGGTTCTTTCCAATTTTGGACTATTATAAGTAACTTTGATATCAAGTACATGGTATATAAACTTTTTTTTGCACATCTGATCTTCTGTGATACATTTCCAGGAGAGAAATAACTGGCCAGAAGACCATTCGTGTTAGATATTGCTATATGTTGAAAGATATTTTTCTTTGTGATGGGATAATACACAGGTTTTTTTTTTCCCTCTAAGGAACATATGAATGATAAAAATATCATCAAAGCTGTAGAACAGCAGCAGCAAGTGGAGGAAGATGAAAAGATTAGAAATTTTATCAAAGCAAAAAAATGTCTTGCAGAAATGAAGAACAAAAAAGAAGCTGAAACACACAGGTGGGCTATACCTCAGCGGTTCAAACTCACCAACTGCTCCTTGGAAAGCCTATTCAAGGTCACTCTAAGTTGGAACCAGCTCTATGGCATTTAACAACAACAATAATAATATGAAATTATTTCATTCCAAATCAGAACTTGTGCTATGAAAGTGGTCTTTAGAAACAGAGGTCTCATTATACATGTTTGCCAGCATTTAATGACCTGACTTCAGTTTGGGGAATGTGAGTTGAGGTATCTTTGGACTGTTCAGGACATCTGTCTGGAAGGTTGGAAATACTGATTTGCTTTAGTAGAGAAGTGTGAGTTGGAGACGGATTTGGGAAACATTGGTATGTAAGCAGTAGCTAGAGTTGTGAATACAAGTGGGCTCACCTGAAGAGAGTAGGTAAGACCAAAAGTGGCTGGTCCCTAGGAAACAGGGCAAAAAATATTCTTAGATTTATTGACAAATTCACCAATTTACAGAGTGAATAATCTGTGTAAAGCAATGTGTGAGAAAGGATACAGCGTGTGCCCCTAAGGAAATTGTCATTTAAAATGAAGAGACATTCATACAAATAACTATATAAGGCAAAGGGTAATACATGCCCAATTTCCTAAGTGAAAATGCTACCATACCTTTAACAAACATTCATCTATTTATTGTTAATGATGTGGACTAGAGAAAGAGGACCTAACCAGTTAGGACCTCCTGAATTTCAAAGTGTTTAAGGAGTTCTGGTGTGGGGCTGTGGGTTAATGTGCCAGACGACAAAGCCATTTGAACTGCAAGGTTGGTGGTTCAAGTACAGCAGCTGGTCCTTGGAAACCCCATATACGGTTGCTATGGGTTGGACTCGACAGCGCTTCACAACAACAAAGAAAGATAGACATGATAAACAGATGAGTAAAGTGCTGTGAATAAATTGTAGACAGGGTATAGTCGGAATTATTGTTTGTTGTTGTTAAGTGCCATCCAGTTGGTTCCTACTCATAGTGATTTTTCAAAATTGGTATATACTATGTAATGTTCTGGAGTCTTGCTGTGGCACTATGGGTTTATGCGCTGGATAGCAAAGTTGGTTTGAACTGCAAAATTGGCAGTTCACGTTTACCAGCTGCTCCTCAGAAGCTTTAAATCTTTGTGGGAGTAGAAAGCCTCATGTTTCTCCTGTGGAGTGGCTGCTGGGCTCAAACCGTGACCCTTCTGGTTCGCAATCCAGTGCTTATGGAGGATGTTGTTGTTGGGTGCTATCAAGTCGGTACTGACCCATAGCGACCCTATGCACAGCAGAACAAAACACTGCCCAATCCTGGGCCATCCTCAATTGTTGCCACGCTTGAGCCCATTGATGCTGCCACTTGGCCAATCCATCTCGTTGGGAATCTTCCTCTTTTTCTCTGACCCTCCATCTTACCAAACATGATATCCTTCACCAGCAACTGGGCACTCCTGACAATAAGTACGAAGTATGAGAGACGAAGTTTGGCCATTTTGGCCTCTAAGGAGCACTCTGGCTGCACTTCTTCCAACACAGATCTGTTGGTTCTTTTGGCAGCCCATGGGGCTTTCAATAAGATTTTGATAACTTGTGTTGATATTTTAATGGTTTTAGTTAAAGAAATTTTTTTATCCTATTTATAGTAAATAAATATACTATATATGTTGTTGTTGTTTAGTGCTGTTGAGTCGATTCCGACCCATAGCAACCTTGTATAGGGTTTCTGAGGAGCAGCTGGTGAGCTTGAACTGTTGACCTTGCAGTTCAAACGGCTTTGCAGTCTGGCTCATTAACCTACAGCGCCATACCAGGACTCCATACTATATATAGTATATACTAAATATAGTAAAAAATTACTACAGTAAAACTATAGTAGTTTAAATAAAGTTTTGTTCAAAGATTTACTTTTAGGACCTAAAACTCTGATATTAGAAAAACAGGATAGTCTAATATTAAAGTATTTTTCAATGTGGACAATTTTAACACATTATCATCCATATATGTGAGCATATTACCCACTGAGGATTTTTAGAACATATATTACTTTATGATGAAAAAATAATAATTTTCACTTAAAATATGAGAGGACTTCAAAAAGTCCATGGAAATTTTCCATTATTATTATTATTTTTTCATTATCTTTTAATTCCATTTTTCCATCAACTTTTTTTTAAAATTGTGAACTGCATGATCGTTTATATGGGAGAACATCAGCTTTACACCATCCATGAAATTTTTGAAGCCTCTCTCATAAGAAAGGAGCTTTGGTAGCATAGTGGTTACGAATCGGGCTGCGAACCTTAAGGTCAGCAGTTCAAAACTACCAGGTGCTATGTGGGAGAAAGATGAGGTTTTCTGTTCCCGTAAAGATTTACAGCCTCGGAAACCCTATACAGGGTCGCTATGAGTCAGAACCGACTCCACGGCACATAACAACAACAATTCATATAAGAAACAGTAGGGGCCCTTGTATTTTTTTTAGAAGGTTGTAAGATATTTCAGACTTGCCAACTAAATTATGGAATCCTGGTGTGACACTAAAGGATAAAAATTGGACTATTAACTACAAGGTTGATGGTTCAAACCCAGCTGCTACTCCTTGAGAACCCTGTACTTGCTCATTTTGAGTTGGAACTAACTTGACAGCACTTTAACAACTACATTATACTGGCTCCCTAACCAGTCTATTTATGAAAATTTAACAAGTTATCGGTGTTTTGTTATAGGCTAATGGAAGAACGGAGAGAAAGGATTCATAACTTCCTGGGTGAACTAATGAAAGAAAAACTTGACAATGAAGACTTGATTATTGCCAGAGTTATTGCGGAAGCTGAAGCTGAAAGGGAAAAAAGAGACATCGAAAGGTGTGAAAAAAACAAGGCAGAGAGAAAAGCGATTGCGGAATATAGAGCCATTGTGGTAAACAATTAATTCAATTATGACAAATAAAAATGAAAAGACAAATTTAAGTCCTTCCCACTGTAATTTCACTTCTTCTACCCCTCTGACTAGAAACTGACAGAGATTTAAAAAACAGTATGTAAATTATCTTCCAATTATCTTAAAATCAGATCATGTTTCCTCTTTAACAGGTATATTTATTGATGCAAAAGTACCTTTTCTATTTCAGAGTTGTCTGAAATGCAAAGATTATTATTTACACTATGCAGATTTTTCATTTTAATTTTAAAAAAAAAGAAATCAAGTCAGAAATGATCGTTTTGTGGGTTTTTTCTTATTCAAAAGTTATCTGCTACAAGACTTGAGTGCCATAACATTTAAATGGACTAATTTTACAAACATTTGTACCCATTAATCTTTTACCTACCAATGTCTCTTCACCTTGAAAAGATCTTGTTTTCGCCTTCCTGTCTTCTATTTTAAACCTAGCAGTTTGTCTAAGTCACTCTACATATGTTTTCATTGAGTGTTTCCTGCTATTCAGAAAACAGAGTAAAATCATAGCGAATTGGCCCTGTGGGATTCAAAGGTGGTGGTGGTGGTGGTGGTGGTGGTAGTGTGCTGTGGAGTCGGTTCGTACTCACAGCTACCCTGTACAGGGTTTCTGAGGCTGTAAATCTGTTCGGGAGCAGAAAGCCTCATCTTTCTCCCACGGAACAGCTGGTAGTTTCGAACTGTATAACCACTATGGTACCAGTGCTCCTGTGGGATTCAAAAGAGGTGCATACAGTTTTCTCCTCCTGCATCACTCCTGCATGGCCTCCACTTGGCGCTCTCTAACTCAGAGCCCTTTTTAGAAAAAGCACTGGATGCTAAAACGGTTTTAATTTCTTTCCTTTGCCTTTTAACATCTAGATGAAAAATAAAGAGGAAGAAGAAAGACAAAGAAAAATCAACTCTAAAGAACAATTGATGGAGATACTGAAAGCAGATCAGATATTTTGGGAGCATGAAAAGGAGAAAAAACGCAAAGCAGATGAAGAACGCAGAAAAGTTCAAGATGCCCATATTCAACAAATGGTAATTATTTCTAAATGTGCTCACTTACTTTAGCAATAATTATATAGAATTCATGCTAGTTTTTATCTTCCAGGAAGTTTCCTTTTTTGAGTAAACACAAATGATCGTATGGTTATGACACAATAAATTTCGAAAATGTGCAATGTTTCTATTGTTACGTTTATTAAACTGTTCATGCTAGGTTTATATTTTTGCACAAATATTTTTCCTTAAATATTTGTATCTGTTGTGTTTTAGTAAGTATTAAAGAAAATACAAATGGTTGTGGCTGTCCATGAAACTTATGAACGTCACTCTGCTTTGTTCCCATTAATGACCACATCCCAGACACTATGTTGATTGCAGTATCATAGGTTTTAGTTTTGAGGTGAGTGAGAGTACCAGATATATTACTAGGTTTCTGGACTATCTGGCATCCATGCATTTTGACTGAAATCTGTTTTTCAAAGTAGCTATATAGTTTTCCATTCCTCCCTGCAACCTCTGCAACTACAGGTTGCTCCACTAATTTAGCACCACTTGGTACTGTCATCCCTTAACTATGCTAGTAGCCCGTGGAGTGGAGCTGATGTCATTTTGCATTTCCTCAGTGACCAGAAATCCTGAGCATCTTTTAATGTGCTTATTAGCCAATTGTTGTTGTTGTTGTTGTTATGTGCCGTGGAGTCAGCTCCGACTCATAGCGACCCTGTACAGGGTTTCCGAGGCTGTAAATCTTTACGGGAGCAGAAAGCCTCCTCTTCCTCCCGCGGAAAAGCTGGTAGTTTTGAACTGCTTACCTTGCGGCTCGCAACCCGAATCATAACCACTACAAAATCCTGAGCATTTTTTTTTTCTTAAATGTTTTATTGTGAATTATGTGATAATTTACATGGGAGAACATTGGTTTTACATTCATTCATATTGTCTCATTGCCATGGTTACAATCCCCTCCATGCTATCCTTCCCCCGTACCCCCCAGGTCTTCAGCACACAGTCGCTCTCCCTCTCTGGATCTAAAGTCTCTAGCTGCTCCATTTCTCCACGTCATCATCTCTGGCTCCATTTCAGGCATCACTGCTTCTCTGGGTAGGGTCCCGCTCTCTGCTCTTCTCCCTTGATGGTCCTAGGGACCTCCGCTCCTAGACTGACAAGTTAATCACTCCCCTCCTTACTATAAAACATCTACCTTTACATTTCCAACCCTCACAATCAGTCCTGATAACAATTATTCACTATTGTATCACAAGAGACCCGTCTCTGAGCATCTTTTAATGTGCTTATTAGCCAATTAGCCATTCATATATCTTCTTTGGTGAAGCACCTTTTTAAGCCTGTTGCCATTTTTCAAGTGGGTTGTTTTCTTATTGTTGAGTTTTACGAGATCTTTGTATATTCTAGATAGATGTACTTTCACAAATGTTTGTATACAAATATTTTCTCCCTATTTGTAGTTTTCCTTTTCATTTTCTTAATGGTATCTTCCAATGAGCAAAAGTTTTTAATTTTGATAAAGCCCAGCTTATCGGTTTTTTATTTTATAATGTTTGCTTACTGTATCACTTCTCAGAAAATAGGTCATAAAGATTTTGTTCTAAAAGTTTTATGGGTTTCTTATGTCTGCTGTTGTTAAGTACCATGGAATCGGTTCCGACTCACAGCATGTCTGTACAGGGTTTCTGAGGCTGCAAATCTTTATGGGAACAGAAAGTCTCATCTTTCTTCCGAGGACCACCATGTAGATTTGAACAGTGCAGTTAGCAGTCCAACTTGTAACCCACTCTGCTACCCGAGTTCCACATGTGATATGTAAGGGTCAAAATTCTTCTTTTCAATGTAAATTCAGTTGTTCTAGTATCTAGTATCATTTCCTGAAAAGTCTATCTTTTCTCCACTGAATTATGCTGAAACTTTTACTGAAAATCAGTTGAAATGTAAACGTGAGTCTATTTCTGAGCACTAGATTCTGTTCCATTGGTCTGTCAATCCTTGTACTTGTACTCCACTGTACTATTCTGATTACTGTGGCCTCATAGTAAGTGTTTGAAATTACACGGCGCAAGTCCTCTCACTTTGATCTTTATAAACTTTATTTTGGCTATTTTAGGTGCTTTGAATTTCCAAACATTTTAGAATAAGTGTACCAATTTTTATAAGCGACCTGATAAGTTTTATTGCTACTATGTTAACTGTATGCTGCTGCCGCTACTGTATGTCATGGAGTCGGTTCTGACTCATAATCATAATCTGAAATCCTGGTGTGACACTGTGTGTTAATGTACTAGACTGCAAAGTCAGTTTGAATCACAAGGTCTGTGGTTCATGCTCACCAGTCATTTCTTGGAAATCCTATGAATCAGAACCAACTCGACAACACTTAACAACAACATAGAATTTCTGAGACTGTGAATCTTTACCACAGCAGAAAGCCACATCTCTCTCCCACAGAGTAGCTGGTGGATTCGAACTGCTGACCTAGTATTTAAAAGCCCAATATATAACCCACTATCTTCTTGGATCAACTATCAACACTCACAGAGGTAGCAGTCAAGAAATCAAACAGTGTATTGCATTAGGCAAATCTGCTGCACAAGACCTTTTTAAAGTGTTGAAGAGCAAAGATGTCAGCTTGAGGACTAAAGTACGCCTGACCCAAGCCATGGTATTTTCAATAATCTCATACGTATACGAAAGCTGGACAGTGAATAAGGAAGACAGTAGAAGAATTGATGCTTTTGAGTTATGGTGTTGGAGAATATTGAATGTGCCATGGGCTGCCTATAGAACCAACAGATCTGTGTTAGAAGTCCAGCGAGTGCTCCTTGGAGGCCAAGATGGCCAAACTCCGTTTCTCATACTTAGGACATACTGTCAGGAGGGACCAGTTGCTGGAGAAGGGTATCATGTTTGGTAAGGTGGAGGGTCAGAGAAAAAGAGGAAGACCCTCCAGTGAGATGGATTGGCCAAGTGGCAGCATCAATGGGCTCAAGCGTGGCAACAGTAGTGAGGTTGGCCCAGGATCGGGCAGTGTTTTGTTCTGTTGTGCATAAGGTCACTATGAGTTGGTACTGACTCGATGGCACCTAACAACAGGCTACCAGAATATTAACTGTATATATATATATATTTGCAGAGGTTTGGGGAAAATATTTTATAGTGAATGATTTATTTTCTTAAGGTTTTTATTGTGAGAATGATTTTGAGGAAGTATTTTAACAATATTGAGTAGTCACATCCATGAATGTTGAATTTCTCTATTGGGTCTTCTTTGAGTTCTATAGTGTTTTGTAGTTTGAGGTGTACAGATCTTTCATAGCCTTTGTTAAATTTATTTTACAAGTTCCAATTTTAAAATCTTAGGAGAAAGATAATGTAATTGATTTAATTTAGTCCAGATACTTTAACTGCTGACTTAATGTTGTACTGTTGGGTCACATGGTCTGATGCAGGGATTGTGGGATGAATCCCCTATCTTCTATATCCACAAAATTTTGCTTCACCTCTTTAAAATGGTAGAAACAGAATTCAAACCTTACCGACCTGACTTTATCTACATTTCCTTTAACTAATTAAAGAACAAGCTAAAATGTTTTTAGCTATTTTGTTGTATTTTTTTAAAGATGCATCACTTAAGGCTGTTATTAATTTACATTGAACCACTTCTTTAACCATGATATTTTGAGATACATGAATTTCTGAAGTAAATTATAGTATATAACTGCTGGATTAGAATTTGTAAAATACTGAGTTTAGAGAATTATGCCTCAACTTTAAACGCTACAGATATTTGATCTTGTAAGCCAATATAAATTTGTATTTTATTTCTCTCCCAAACAGGCCAAAAATAAGTTTAATGTAAAGCAATCGAAAGAAGCAGAAATGGATCATTGCAGACTTACAGCAGCTATTGCGGCTGAAAAGGAGAAAGAATTCCAGGATTATGCAAGAGAAGTAATTGAGGTGGAATCCCGGTTGACTAATAAATATATTTATCCTCTTGTAAAAGCTGTACAGGAAGGGCCTGGAGGTGGCCATGGACCAATGTTTATGGACAGAGGTGGAATAAGACCCAGCTATAAGGCAAATGATGTCATGGGGGTCCAGCTCCCTTTTTATAACTCTCAGGGATCAAAATACACTAACTTTCAAAAGTCTAAGGGAAGGCTAGGTTTTACATGGTAGAAAAAATGCTTTTTAAGATTAAGAAGACTAAATTGTAGCAATGATGAACTACAAAGGTAAATTATATACCTATAATTTGTCAATAAAGTGGCTCTTCATCTAAGTACAATTCTGATTTATTTCATTCTTCACAATATTTCCATTGGATATATAAAACCCGTTAATTTACTCATTCTTTTTATTGTGATAAAATGCACATTACCTAAATTACCATCTTAACTATTTAAACATATATGATTCAGTGGCATTAAATACATTCATATTGTACAGCCATCAGCATTATCTAGCTGCAGAGATTTTTTTCATCTCAACAGATCCCATACCCATGAAGATATCACTCCCCATTTCCTGTTGCTTCCAGCCCTCGGCAACCACTAACCTGCCTTGGATCTCTATTAATTTCCCTATTTTGTGTATTTCAGATAAATGCAATCATATAACATGTGGCATTTGTGTCTGGCTTTTTTCACTTGGCATGTTTTCCAGGGTTACCGGTACTGTAGCATGGATTAGCACTTCTTTTTGATGGTGGTGCTTGTGGCTGTTTATTTCCTTGTATGAATAAGCCACATTTTGCTTGTTCCATTCATTTGTTGAGGAACATTTGGATTGTTTCCACATTTTGGCATTTGTGAATGAGCTGTTATAAACATTTTTGTACAAGTTTTTCTTTGAACCTATTTTCACTTTGGGGTTTATATTTACTAGTAGAATTACTGAGTCATATAAGGTAACTTCAAAACATATTTGTGGAAAAATGCAATAAAAGATAAGTGCATTTTTCCACAAACTTTTTGAAACTCCGTGTATGCTAATGCTGTTTAACTATTTGAGGAACCACCACACTGTCTTCCACAGTGGTTGAACCATTTCTCTGCATCCTTGCCAACACTTCTTTCTGTATCTATTTGAGTGAATGTGATCATTATTGTGATTTTGTTTTGCATTTCCCTGGAAAGTCATGTCTAAGATCTTGTGCCAATTAGCTGCATATATATCGTATTTGGAGGAATGATGATTCAAATCTTTTGTCCATTTTTAAATTAGGTTCTTTTTGTCATTGAATTGTAAGGAACTTTATGAAGCCTCCCGATATAATTATTGTTAGGTGCTGTATTGTTGGCTTTGACTCATAGCAACCATGTATAGTGTTTCCAAGGCTGTAAATGTGTTGTGGTGTTAAGGGTTAATGCGCTGGACTGCAAGGTCAGTTTGAATCGTATGGTCGGCAGTTCAGGCTTACCAGCTGCTTCTCGGAAATCCTATACAGGGTTGCTATGGATTGAAACTGACTCGAAGGCACATAACAGCATATATATACACACACACAGGCTTCAAAGTTCTCTACAATTCAACAGAAGAATCTTATAAATATGATGGTGGCTGGGTGGCGTTGATTCTGACTCATAAGGACCGTGTATAGAGTTTCTGAGGCTGTAGTCTGTACAGGAGCAGAAAGCCTTATCTTTCTCCTGCAGAGCTGCTGGTGAGTTTGAACTGCTGACCTTGCAGTTAGCAGCCCAACGCGAAACTCACTATGCTACTGAAACTCCAAATATATATGTGTGTCTGTGTGTGAATATATATATTTGTTATGTGTCGTGGAGTCAGTTCCGACTGATAGTGACGCTGTACAGGGTTTCCGAGGCTGTGAAACTTTATGGGAGCAGAAAGCCTCATCTTTCTCCTGTGGAAAGGCTGGTAGTTTCGAACTGTTGACCTTAAGGTTTGCAGCCCCATTCGTAACCACTACGCTACCAGAGCTCGCTCTCTCTATATATATAGTAGTGTAGTGGTTACAAATTGTGCTGCTAATCTCATGTTTAGCAATTCGAAACTACCAGCCTACCAGCCATTCTGTGGGATTGAAAGATTGAGGTTTTCTGCTCCTGGGAAGAGTTACAGCCTCAGAAACCCTATACAGGGTCGCTATGAGACAGAACCAACTCCATGGCACATAAGCTATATATATATATACACACACACACACACACACACACACACCTGTGAAAGCTGAAACCTATGTAAGCTAGAAACCCATCACAGAAAGAAAACATATTTTACACTAAAATGAGCAACAGAAAAGTGGTAAGACTGCAACCTGTCAAAGAAGGGAAACTTGCAAGACCCAAACAAACAAGGCAGTCTCACAAGAGTTCTGGCTCTCATCAGGTTTATTGTAGTTTGCAGATTTTTTCCCCCCGTTCTATGGGTTGCCTTACTATTGTCATTTGATACAAATACTTTCAATTTTGATGAAATCCAATTTTTGAAAATTTTATTTTGTTGCTCATGGTTTTAGTGTCATAGTTAATTTCTCCTTTTGCAAAATCCAAGGTAATGTTTCCCATTTTCTTGTAAGTTATAATTCTAGCTTTTGAATTGAGGTCTTTGATCCATTTGGAGTTAATTCATGATGTGAGTTCAGCTTCATTGTTTCCATGCAGATATCCATTGTGTCCAATTCCCTTTCCCCCTGAAATGTTCTTGACTGAAAAATCAGTTTCTTCACTGTTATGCATCTGTTAATATTTTCTAGATCTTGATTCAATTTAGGTATTTTACAATGTGTTTCTACAATTGTGTCCATTTCACTGGTTACCTAACAGCATTATCATTCTTTTTATTGCTCTAGTAGTTGTCAAGTCCCCACTTGCATTTGGTATTTCTGTTATTTCTTTTTGTCAGTCTTGTAAAGGTTTGTGTTTTCATTTTTCCTTCCTCTTACCTTTCTTTCCTTCTGGTAACTTTGAGTTTTGCTTGCTCTTTTCTTAGTTTCTCAAATTGTCAAGTTAATGATTTGAAACGTTCTTTTTTTTTAAATGTAGGCATTTACTGCTGAGCACTGTAATATTGATAAACTTAAAGAAACGCATTACTATTTTATGTAAGGAAATACAACAAGTGTTTTAACATACTGGATTATAAGGTTGAGATAACAGAACATCATTAAAAACCAGGAGCTTTTTAAAGGCCAAGCCACTCTGCTGCTTTGAGATGGACTTGCTGCAGTAATATATTGCACTTTGTAAAGAGATTGCCAAATTTTTATTTATGGGTGTAATTTAAAAATTATGTATCTAAAGTATAAAACTATTAAGCTATCCTATAGGCAGTGATTGCTTTAAAAGCCTCCCTTTTAAATCTTCGCCTGGTGTGAAGTGGCCCTTTTCCCTTTCCAAAGTAACCACTAAAGGTACTTTGACTATTGATGTAGGACTTTTGTATTTAAATACACATGTAAGAGAATTCCTTTTAACTCCTCCATTGGAATCTTCTCACAGAATAAAATAACTCATTTCATTTCCTTCTGAACCATTAGCTTATTACTTTGGTTTGGTTTTTGGCATTGCAGATATTAAACCCTATATAGGGTTGTTATGAGTCAGAAGCGACTCCATAGCACTTAACAACAGATACTCTTGTATTGCTTTTGTTTTAATGTTGTTAAGTGTCACTGAGTCGATTCCGACCCATAGTGACCATGTTATAGGGTTTCCAAGGAGCATCTATCTGGTGAGTTTGAACCACCAACCTTGCAGTTCAAACGACTTTGCAGTCTGACGCATTAGCCCACAGCGCCACACTGTGAAAAAAAGGGGGGAGGGGGGGAATTAGACCCAGTCATTTGAAGTCCTGGTGTGGTGCTGTAGATTAAAGCACTGGACTACAAGGTAGGGCTAAACCACAAGGTCAGCAGTTCAAACCTACCAGTCACTCCTTGAAAACCTTATACAGGATCACTATGAGCTGGAACCAACTTGATGACACTTAACCTGTAAAAACTACAGAAATAAGCAAAAATAAGATGAAATTTGTAAATGAGAAAAGAGAACATTGTAAAACGTATAACATGTTTTAGAGTAACTACAATTTGTAATCATGCTATTCAATTTATCATCTTAGGTACTTTTTATTATATACAGTATTAGTACAATATTTACTTACACACTGCCATTCTTAATGTAAATTAATTTTGATTAACTCTATAAGTTTACCACTGCCATTAAAAAAAAAAAAAAAGCTTTATAAGGAAATGCTGAAAATTTCTTAACAGCCTGCAAATAAAGGCATTATTTGCTGTAATTTCTAGAAAGAAAAAATATATTTGAAAAAGGGTACTGAGAAGTATATATTGATATTTGGTACATAATTTATTTCCTATCCTTATGCTTATATACAAACAAAGCCCAACAAGGCTAACTGACCTTGTTGCATGTGATACTTTTAAGAATCTTAAAGGAACACATAAACCCTGTACTAAAGGAGTCCCTTTCTATGCTTCCCTAGAATTGATTGAAGAACTTGGAATTCTAGGATTATCTAGACAGCCAGCATGAATGGCTTTGTGGGCACTAGGCTTATCAGGCCTCTTAAGCCAATACATTTTTATAGTTGAAGTTCTTAATATAGTGCTTGTAAAGACTTTGGAAATATATGTGAATCTTCGAAAATTGAGCAGGGCTGTAAATGAGTTCACTGAATTCACAAGATCCAAGGAAGGTGAGAATCTGCTCTGGCGACATAAACATTCCTTGTTTCAACCCAAAGATTTTTTATGATCCTCTGAGAATCTGATAAAAATTCTAACTCCTCCCATTGAATAGCTGTCATCTTGTCTAGATGGGTCTGGTGAAAAGAGATGAGGATAAAATTCATAAGATTCAATAGTGAATGTAATCATTTCTAATTGCGACTGTTACAATTGTAAAGGTAGAAGTTTTGTAACAAAAAAAAAGGGGAGTGGTTAATCTTATAGTCCAGAAACAGAGGACCCTAGGACCATCGAGAGAGGAACGCACAAGCAGAATGTGGGACCTTATCCAGAGAAGCAGCAGCACCAGAGATGGAGGCAGAGATGGGGGCATGGAGAGGGGCTGAGGACTCTAGAATCATGTACCAAGAAGAGAGAGACTAAAAGCTGGTGGCCAGGATACAGACTTGCAGAATGTGCCCTTTGGAGATGTAAATTATTATATATGCCTGAGTGGTTTGTTTGTTTTTTAAAAAGCTAAAGTGGTTAGAAGAGAAATACTGTTAACTGATGGTACATGGAGGGGATTATATAATCATTGTAATGAAACAAGGTATATGATTTGTTGACG